GTCCGCCGAGACGCTGGCCGCGTGTCCCGGGGGGTATGTCCTGCAGAAATACTCCGCGTTTCCCGCTGGCGATAGCGTATCGCCGTGTAACGGTGCCCGGTAGATCGTTGAGAATTATCACCTCTGATAATTACAGAGGCAACCCGATGGGACTCCGCGGAGATATCTCGAAACAGCATCGGAAGCTTTCACATAATCCTCGATTTTCCTCTCTTCTCTCTCTCTCTCTCTCTCTCTCTCTCTCTCTCTCTCTCTCTCTCTCTCTCTCTCTCTCTCTCTCTCTCTCTCTCTCCCTTCCTCTTTTCTTTCACTTCGTGTAACCTTCTTTGTTATAACTAAGACATCGATTGTCTTTAATATCATAAAATATGCTGTTGGACGTGCGAAATTCACGTATATATCGGTCATGGTATCGTCGGATTTAATTTTCGGAAATGTTATCATTGTTATGATTGAACGAAATCGCGAAGAAATGAAAAGGAATTGTATTTCTTCGTTTAATCGTGGAAATATTTTTTTTCTTCCTATTTAATGTACATTATTTTCAAATACACCTCAGAATTTTTAAATATAAAAATTAAACAAATTAGACAAGAATAAAAATAAAATAGAATAATAATTAAACAAAATAAAATAGAATAAAATAAAATAAAATAAAATAAAAAAATATATATATATATATAAAATATATATAATATATATTTATTTTATAATAAAATAGAATAATAATAATAATTAAACAAATTAAACAAAAATTCTTGTCTCATATGAAATATAATATTGTAATAAAAATTTCCTATAGAAATTTATATATTTTTCATATAAATATGGAATTAAATTAAAGACCTCTAATAATATTGAAAATCTTTCCTAACTCGTTTTGTTTGTCATAAACGTCATTATCCAAGTCGCAATAACAAAAATTAATAGATAAAGAGATGTTATTATTCTCATGCGACTGGACCGTCCTAGATCGAAACAATCGTAATGAAACTTAATTAATTTACAATTAATTAGCGAAAAATTCACGAAGCGCTTCTCCTTTTCCTCGATAGTTGTAAATCAGTTAATTGCGGAAACGTATCTCCGCTTAACAACTTATCTCGAGAAAAGTTTAATTTATCGGGGCTACAAACATTAACCGACATTGTTATAGTCGCTAAATCGGCGGACTTTAAATCATCTGGAATCTTGCATGCGCGAAGAAAATGAATTCGCTGCAGTCACGCGAATTGCCGTTACGTGCCAAGATCGGCCGAATGAATTACTATTTCTTTCACGGAATAAATCAGCTGGGTGCAAAAATTAGCTACCATTAAAATGCGCGAGATACAAATATACACTTCTCTTTATACGCGCCCGTGGCATTATAGTTGGTAATTTCATTATACTTGCGTTCCACATCCCTCCACGTATCAAGCTGCCCCCGCAATTATTCCTTGGTTTTATCCGGATCCTTAGAAATTGCACGCGTCATAGATACGCAAATATATCCGAATGATGTTTATTCAAGTTTTGATTTCTCGATAATTCACGTTAGCGAAAGTTGCACGAAAAATATGATTCAAATTTATTTTACGTTAACTGACGTTGAGAAAATTAATAGAGAAATCTAACAAATTGAAAATTAGACCTTGACACGACGATCGATGGAGATAACGTCGATTCTCGATGGCTCAATATATTTCAATATCTTTCGTTCGTTTTGTGATACTAATTGTAATACTAATTGTACTATATTTCGGTGAGAAATGATTTGACAATAACGATTATATGACGTGCAACGCTATCGATCACACAATTAAAGTTAGAAGCATCGGAGAAGTGAAGGCAGTAAAGTTGAAGCTCGATCGACACAGGTGTTGGCAATAATCTTTTTATTTATTAAGAAAAATCTCCCTGTTATATTAGCGTCGTTGAGTAAGTACCGTGTCAGTTTCGCGCGAGGATAAACATATCTCGGCGTAGTTTGTTCTCGCATCATTCCGCACGCGCGTAGCAAAATAAATCGGATATCTTCTTTCTCTCTCTCTTTCTTTTTTTTTTCTTCTTCTGTACGAAATTGTCGTTGCGGCGAGTCGCCTTTTGGACGAGTAGTTTATCCAAGGCGCTTTACAAGGATGCCGTCGTGTAAATATCGTACAATTAAATACATCGAGGATAAATAGGTCGTCGTTCCATATCCGTACGGTTTTCTTTTTTTTTTTTTTTTTCCCCCTAAAGAGGCTTACATCCGAACGGGGAGTGTGACTGATGCTTGCAATTATAGTTAAAAATGGCAAGAAAAGCCGCATTCAAACCGCCTTACACGCTAATATTTATAATGTAATTCATCACAGCAATAAACAAAATATACGTGTGCGCATGTGGATGTACAAAAACTCGTGAGTTATCATCTCTCCTTCGTTTCCTCCCTTCCGCGCATCTATCATCTTTCGCGCGAACGGCTTCTCGCAACCACACCACGCAGCTGCTCGCGTTTTCACATTTTCTTATAAGTTACAGCTTATTTTAAAAGTATTAAAGTTAAGTCGTGTAATATCTGTTTCCGGAATTCAATATAGCCGCATGCCGGCTACATGGGGGGGATCATCGTGTTGTTCGCGCCCTACGGGGCTGACAATTTAAATTCATGAATACACGCACGCGTACAATGTGTGTTGTGTCAGTCAAATTTTGCCAAAGGAAAAAATTGTGTACGGAGACGTTTCTGGGATGGAAAGTAACCGACCGTTCATACTTTTTGTGGCTCGCATAAGGCATTAGAAATTGTATTTTTAAGGCATCGGTTGTCGTTTCTGTTTCGCATTCAAACGCGCATAAAGTAACAAGGCCTGCACTATGTCACTATTATTAGATCGAAATAGAGATATTAAACATATAGTTATACAATATAACGGAACGCTAGTACGCTGATAGTATCAGTAATGACAGATAAAATTAAACGATGACAATGAACTAGGCATCTACAGTCGAGAGTCGCTTCTTGCTCTTTCGGAGATAAAACGCTAACGATATATTTATAATGCGATAATTACAAAACTTACGTAAAATATATTCGTATCCATATGACTACATTTTCGCTTAGTGTGTGGAGTTCTGTGTGCGGGGGGGAGGGGTAGGATATCGCGACAGGTCGTCCTATCTGTACAAAAATAAGAATCTGTCTTCGTTATTAAATGCTCAAATATTTAATAATTCGAATCCATACACTTTCGCTCATCAACAAATCTTCTGAATTCCGGAACAGTCCATTATTTAGAAAATATATGATATATACAATAAGAAAATGCCTTTAGAGTTCAGCTTCGTTCTTTTCTCTTTCCCCCCCTTTTTTTTTCTTTCTTTCTTTTGGCTGTCGCGTCTTTGCGCCTAGATGTGATGGATATCACAGAGTTAATGGATGTAGATCCGACTAAAACGTAATAATAGAATGCGTGTCCGCGTTTCTCTACATTGTCCTTTTCTATCGCTTTTTTTACGTTACGCGAGCACATGGCATAATATATGCAAATATCTGTGTGTGTGTGTGTGTGTGTGTGTGTGTGTGTGTGTGTGTGTAAATATATATATACATACACACATGTATAATCAATAAAATTCGTTATATGTACATACTTCGGTGTGTGTGTCATTTGAGAAAAATATAAAACTATTGAGATTCACGTGATGGACCGTATTCTTGGTTTCCCTTCCCCGTTTGTGATATCGTAGACTTATTACGCTATTATCTCTACTTGATACTCGAGTCAGTACAAATTTCGCGGATGTACGCATCTTTGAGTGGTTTAATTGATGTTCGAATGCTTTCGCTATCTTCACAAAGCCTGATCATTAACTCTGTAAAATTGTTAATAAAAACGTTATGCAAACGGCATCTAAATTTAGTTGCATTATCTCTTTGTCTAAAGCATTAAAAACAAAAGTTTAATAAGTTTTAATAAGGTCTGATTGTTAAAATAAATATTCGGAAACATCAAATAAACCGCAACAAAGTTCTCGCGTCCGAGTTTGCATATTGAAGTACATTATAGGGAATGTAGAGATACGATGATGATACAAATAACATTATTTGGAGTCAACCGGCTTACACGGCATAATTTGCCGTCAGATTTAAGTATCGTAAATTAGTCGTTACGCTATCTTAATCCATGAAAAGATGATAGAAAAAAAGAAGCATGCAAAGTACACAAATATGCTGGTATTGTACATCTCGCGCACATCTCGCGCGTATCGGGCTGCCGAAAAAAATATATCACCCGGTGTTCAGAGGAGATCCTCCTCGTTGTGATATACGGTGTCCAGCGTGCGTAGGTTGAAACATGCCAATATCTGTATCCGAATTCGATACGCGTATATCATCAATGATGAATAGGGGATAACGAGATACGTGATTGATCTATTCCGACATCCACTAACTCTATGCTAGAGATACAAAAGTACTATGCTCACAACTACGCGTCTTAATGCGTCCGCGGATGCATCACACTCACCCCCCTTTGTGTCTACCGAAAATCTTAAATATTGACTGATGTCGATCGATTTATAATATTGTATAAAAAGCTTTGACAATAATTTTTGTCTTTAATTTTCCAAGTAGTGAACTAAAGCTATTGATTTTGAAATCGACAGCTGCAACAATTGTTGAAAAAGATATCAAGAGAAATCTTGTTATTGTAACTTGAAAAATTTTTAATAAACTTAGACACTTTTTAACAATATTATTTTATGTATCTCTTGACAAAGTTGAAGACAAAGTTAAATTTAGATTTTATTAAATTTTCTTAAATTTTTTTATGTAGTTTTGTTCCTCTAAATTTCATATTTATTGATTTTAGAAACTATTGCAAGATATTTTTTTATCAATTTATTGCTTCTTTAAATTTCGATTCATGAGTAATGGTGCAGCATGAGTGTCGTACTTCCGCGGATCTCCTATTGCGAGGCCGATCTTGAAAAATGTTTTTGAAAACACACGCACGCATTCCCATACGATAAAATGCAATATCGTGAGCGGTATATTTGTTATACTTTTTTAGAAACAGTCTTTATACAATATCTCAATTATATTATGTACAATTATATATACTAGCTAAAAGATAAAACCTATGTCCCTTGCTATTACATTAAATCCGAGTACGAGTTCAATCTGTCGAACTTTAATTATATAATATCCCAATCTTTACTCGAAAATAATCCAATTGAAATCTCGATTACTTATACCCTGGTCGTATTTACAATAGCGCAATGGTACTTAGTAATGTACATGAGTCTTCGAGTTTACATACTCAGAAGTGGTCGTGATTCGAGGCTGTCTCATAAATTTTATATATATATATATATATATATACCTTCGTAATCTCAAACGTATCAGGGCTAGGAAGTATTCCAAATACACACACACATATGGCGTAAATATTTGAGATGCGAAATTTCTTATTCCGTATCTCGCATGTCCTGAAGCGAATTTTTCAAGAATATCTTTTGTCTTTCTTAACCACATGTTCAACAATATTTTATACTTGAAATATATAGCTTTTGCAGGATATTTTTGTATTTGAAATACAAATATTTATGGCATTTTTACCTAGTCCTGAATATATCATCACGGTTCTTTGCTGTATAAAATTAGGCAAAAGAAAAAAACACGAGCAATAAAAAATTACCTATTCAAAACTATTTTAAGTTATTGTGATTGATCAACAATTTAGGCAGTACATTAGGTAATATGTAATAAACGTTATATCGAAAATACTAGTAGTCTAGAGTTTGGTCACCCATAGAATACTAGTCGGTAAATTACAATGGGTATCATACAATATAAAAAATAATTCGCGAACGTATATAAGTCGCTTCGTTTCCGATTGGAAACAATCGTAATCATCAGTACGTAATTAGGCTGTTTCAACGAATGGAAATTAATATTGTCGATAATAGCTATTTAGCTGCACATTTCCCATCTCTTGCTTAATATTGACAGCTCGTCGATCGATCAATAGCTATCAAATTGTTGAGCTATATACACTTCCAGAAACACGCAATACCTGAGAATTCGTGCTGGAAATTACACAGTACCTTGACTTCTTACATAATAGCTGCAGATCATCTCAAAAGTAATACGCATAGCGCATTAATAGCGACATAAGCTGCTGCATGTAAGGTAAACAGAAGTTGAAACAACGAAGTTGTTCTCGGAGCAGATGCTACGCTTGATGCTTTCGTTAAATCCTCGCATACTCCTACAACAGAATAGCAAATGCTGAATATTTGTATATTTTGCTTACCCGGCATGCTTGTATTTAAATCCAACGTAGTATAATGCATCCCGAAACTATGGCAAATTGCGGCAAAATGCAGTAATTATTTCGCTGTTTCAACGAATAAGTTATTTTAATAAGATGTATTATTTCCCTCTTTTCCACTTAATTATTTTGAATATTATTATTCATCTAATTAATTTGTGCAATTTTAATAGTTCTATCTTTTAAAATTATTTATTTTAAATAGATATATAAATTGTGGAATAAGTTTTCATAATTCATAATAATTTTTGTACAATATTGTATCTTTATAAATTACCTTGATTGGACAGTCTGTACGTCCATTCATCCTTGGCTTCTCTCTGACAAGCACGCGATGGCCTCGACAGCAATAGCTCTTGCTCCTGTTGCTTTTGCCTACCGCCTCTATCTCTAACGCCATCGAGAAGCATGGAAAAACAAAATGTTTGACCTGGACTGGCTGGGAATTCAAGATTCCGCTGCGACACTATCGTATACCACGTTCCTTTCTCCTCCCAGCTGCCATGACAAAAATAGGCTGCCGAAACATATCAATATATCGTTATATTTTTCCTTATACACATCTTTCTTACAAATTGTAAAAGATAATGAATGACAAATATTCATTTGCTTACCAATCCTCTCATGTTCGCATGTGTTGCCGATTATTATTTCGGTTTGATCAGCTGACGAACAGCCTACTTGAATATTCGTATTTCTGCACTCCTCATCCTCGATGTTATCCTGCCAAGTCCGCCTTTTTGTTGTCCTTGACAGCTCGCTGCGTCGCTGTCGTCTCGACACGGCGGTCGACAACGTACGCGACGGAGCAAAATCCAGGATCTTGTATCGTCCTAGGTGAGGACATCTTCTTTGATGCAAGAACGTAGCTATAGAACGAAAATAGACATGATTTGCATACGTTTTGCTGCTCGCCCACTATCCCACGATACCATGATGATGCGCGCAGAATTTCCTATATCAATATTTATGAGTGACGACGTAACATGGATTAGCACTTACTTATTAAGGTCGTATACGGCATCGTAGAGGGATCCGAGATTGAGCACGCCTCGTCTGGCATAATCGCTTTTTGATCTGCAATAAGATGGAAAAAACATTTTTTACATATTGCATAACATTGGCTTTTAATGTCGCATATCAAAGTGCTCACCTGACTGCTGTATCTCGATGATGTGACTGTCTCTTTTGTGGAATATCATGCAAACGTAACCAATATCGCTGCAATTATAAATAAGAATAAATTCGAACAGCTGTGACGCACATTAAAAATTATAAAAAAATGAAGAGATCACTTACCAACCGCTGGTGACGTGAGCAACTAATTTCACTTTATTCCCTTGCATGTTGTCGTTCGGATATAATTTTTCCAAATTGTGACAAACGATCTTTTCTTCATAGGCAGCTTCGCCGTCGGTATCCTGCATTTGCGCCTTTACTTTCAACGTGGCGTTTTTGTTCGTAAAATGATAGTTCTTTGTACCATCGAGAGAATGCCAGTCATGGTGTTGAGTTACCCAAGCCGGATATTTGCATCTACTATGCTCCTTGTCGACTGTTAAAAAAAAAATGTAAACGTATAAAAGATAGAAAATAATTATTTTTATGGATTTTGCGAAACACATGATTTTCTGCACAATTTACCTTTAGTAAGTTTTATGGTAGGAGATCCTTCAGAAACTGTGGTTAGGCCGTTGCAAGTCGGATCGCCAGACTGAGCGAGTAAATAAATCATCTTTCCCTGATGATGAGGCTTTTCTTCGTACAGAAAACACCTAGCATAGAAATTGTTATAGAATGATTTAATCAATGATTTTTTACGAGAAATCCTTTTTCATTAATTATCATGTTTTTCCATCGACGTACATGTTTATATATACGCCTCATGGAAAGAACGAAAGACTAATAGATAATGATAATGATAATAACGGTGAAAGATGACAAATAAGTGGTTAACCATCTTTTCACCTTGTCAAGTCCGACTTGTTTTTTTACACCATAAACACCATGACATGAAATGTGACATGCTGAAACCGCAATACGTGAACATCTGGCGTACAGGTGCAACGGAACATAAATTAGTAACTTGATGCGTGCAGTATGAGCGTATCGCGATCAAATCGCAACAGCGAAAAGACCGTTGCCGTTACGGTGTCTCTTTAGCATAATATGCTTTACACAATACACAAAATTAAAATAATATGTTTTACCTGTAGGTTTTTGCTTCTCCCAGTGTGTTTCTCTCTTTCAATGTTCCCACAAGATATTTATTTCGACCATCGTTCCAAACGGCTAGGCATTGTAATTCTTCGGCTGCAAATATAACATAAAAATTTTAAATGTATAAAGAAGAATAAAATATTATAAAACATACTTTGAAAATTTAATTACAGGTTTTAATTCTTTTAGAGTATTTGTAAAAATATTGATCATTATCATTTGCATAAAACAATTAATACAATTTCTACTCAAACCATACGAATTTAAACAAAATTATATTCTAATAGATGTTATTTTTGCAATAATAAATATAATATTACTCATGATTCTATTGAGCTTTAGACAGCCGTAACATTAATTGTTAAAAGTTGTTTGCACACCACGCGCATTTAATATATATGTTGTAAAAAATACATAATATGTAATATATTAAGCACGGGAAATTAAATCAATCCAACACTGACGATACTTTTACAACAATCAACTTACTGTTGCTCTCGGTCCCCGCGACGTCTGGACAGGCCTGATACTTGAGCAGAAGCTTGCTCTCGTCAGTGCATTTTTCCGCGAGGCTTATAGGCATAGCGCACTCGGCGTAACCCCGATTGTACGTGAATGTGAACGACGCTCCGTTGAATGGGCAAGCTATCGACTTCGAGTTCATACGGAACATCGAAAAGAGCATATCGTCCGAGGTAATCATCCCACACATCTCTTCCAACGACTTTCGATGCTGGTCGCACCAACCTGGAAAAATCATTGTTGTTAATTTTATGTTTAATTTTTAGCTTTATACTTAATCTTAATGTAAATCTAAATGCCGAATTAACGTACCTTCGCGATATTGTATAACATTTTCATGACGTCCATTGATGATCATACATTGGTAACAGTTCTCGCCATCATTGCTGAAGCAATGAGCAGAATTTCCATTATTAGTCGTAAGTCGAGTAGTCGATGTATTTTTTACATTTTTATGTTTTTCTCGATTAAAATAAGCAGATACTTACTAAACGATATATTTGTCGTCGGTTCTTTCGACGCATGTTCGATCTCCGAAAACGGTTGTATTTATAATGACTGCAGACTGCTTGCCGTACTGATACCATTCTCCTGACCAGCTCGATGGAAACTCGCAAGATCCTAAAATATGACAAACTTCAATTTTTCCGCGCTAATTTTGATGATATTCTTTGATAAATTTAAAATCTTTAAATTATATTCTTCTTAAGAAAAACTTTTTAGTGGTATTAAAACTTAACGATATAGTTTTAATTTAAACCTTATACATTAAAATTTTATTAAAATCCGAAATAACTCAAACAAAAAAAAATAAAAAATATATTTTTATTTCATATCTCCAAAATTAGTTATCTACAAAATTATCACATATAATATTTTATATTATAACATAAATCTCATGTTACGAATATTTCTGTACAAGAGCTCAAAAATAGAGATAATCTCGCTGCCAAGGTTTATTATCATTTCGTTTTATTCGTTAAAAAATATGTTGTAAATAGTAAATGTAACCCAATTGTAAATTTATTCATCGAAAAGAATTCTTTCTCGTTAAAAATCAGTTGTCTTTTAATCAGGGCGTTTACGTTTATTCAGGTGAAGAATTCGAAAGAGAGCGAAGAGACTCGCTTGATTGAGAGAATTAAGAGGGTCCACGTGGTTTTCGTCGGGGCTTTCATTAAGAGGCGCGGACGATTAGAAAATTGCTATCGGACCCAATGCAACACGATTACTGCGGTCAGGGCGTGAGAGTCAGATGATGAAGAAAGGGGACTACCGCGCGTCGCGTCGCGTTACGTTGCGTTGCGTTGCGTTGCGTTGAGTTGCGTTACGTTGCGTTGTGTGCGTGGCGAAGCGACGAGCAACGCTCGGAATGCGCGAGCTAGAAAAAAAAAGAGAGAGAAGAAGTTAACGACACGCGGGCCGCGTTGCCCGTCAATTTTCCCAGCCTTCGTCGCCTGTTTATCTTAGTCACCGGCCGCCAAGCGACGCTATTTAGCGAGTTCTAGTGAAAAGTTGCCAGACAGGACGAGAATGCTCCAGCGGAAAGTTTTCAGACGTATGCGGCAAACTGGAGCAAAACTCGATGTGAATGATCGAATGCTTAGGATTTGAAATGGGGAAAAAAATACCATGCGACTTTTTGAACATTTTAATTGTGGAGCTATTTCGTCGACTGTCTCACAATCGGTATGACAGCTCTATTTCTGAGACATTCCGACGAAATATATTTGTGATAAATACACAGCATTTTATTATAATGGTTATAATAAATTTTCGAGATTGAGTATTTGAGCTTCAAGCGTGGAATATGAATGTCCGGGCTTAAAGTTAATAATAGTATCAGCCTGCCTTTCGAACGTAAATCAATTTTAAGAAATGGAATTATTAAGCCGTTCATGTGTGCATGGGGAGTTCTTTATAAAATATTCTTATAGACCGTGGTCCCGCGAGGCTGAGTAATAAATGCCCTTGCGGAACGAAGGGTTAAGGTCCGTTCGGCAGTGCGGTATATTTACCGGCTCGCGATGTTTAGTGCGTTCGATCGAACGTGCGTACGTTTCGGGGTGGTTGCTTGCTCGGCAGCGCGAGCGATGGCGAATGTCAGAAATAGCCGGGAAGAGGGCGGAGGTACGGAGGGTGCGCGAAGGGAAATGGGATACACACGCGACAGCGTCTACGGGGTGTCCCAGAACCGATCCAGCCTTTAATATTAATGACGAGCACGTCGACGAAAATGGAGTCGGTGTTTCCCGAGGGGGATGTAGGAGGCCATTACCCGTAACAGTCGACATAAGTCATCTCTAATTAGAGTTCTAAAGTGTTCGAACGTCAGAAAGGTAGCGTGGTGGTTGCTTGAACGTTCAAATAAACATCGAACCACCGCCGGTTACTCGGGATTTTCTAAATACACAAGAAAGAGACAAGGTCTCGTCTCGCGTAGAATCGCCTGGATCGTAATTCGAAAACGTTAACTCGCCATCGCTTCAGCTCGGAGAAAAATTGACTCCGATGAGGGTTCTCAGACACCTTGTATGCTGGACGGTACGCGCACGTGCACCGCGCGCGAACCGAGCAGCCAGCAACGTGGAGCAACAGCCAGCACGGGGAGAACAGAGGAAAAGGGGGCGAGAGGAAGAGCGCGTCGACCGTTTTAGACACGCATCTTTCGTCGAAGGAACATCATTTATCTCGACGTGCTCGGAAGAGGGGGCACGAGAGGGTGACGTTCCGCCCTCTCGCCCTTCCCCCCCCCTCTCTCTCTCTCTCTC